ATCCAGCATTTATAATTCTCAACTTTCAACAATCTGGGCATCCAGTTTCTAAGAAGGAATCCACGTCTGTCTCTCTAGGGCAGCAAGTCCTATAAAGAATCAGCTACAATCCTACTGTCTAATCCCTTAGTAATAGGAATGCAAACTGCATCCCACCCATCTGATTCCCTCAGGTGCTTAAGGGACAAGTGATCACAAAGTAATAGGCACTAGTATATCACTATACCGCTCCTTCCAGGTGAGATATTTTCATCTCAGCAACAAATCTTTAGATATTTGACTTGACCCAAAATAGCAGATCTAGTGGAGACCGCTGCCCACCGTCAAGAGAGATGATTTAGATGCTCTTCAAATCACTCTCCACACAGGTGGCTGCCAACTTTGCCCACATGAAAGACGATCCCTGGCCAAAGTCAGTTAGACATTCAACAGCCATGTTTTTATGGAGCTCTTTCTATTGTTTTTAAAGTTATCATACAGCCATTTCTGAAATTGAACAAGATGGGACAATATTGATACCAATGCCAAAAGCTGGATAATGCGTCTGTATAAAAGGTTCCGGTGTCCGGGGCCTTCCGTCGCTGGCCAGGGCTCTCATCCCCCCAGGCGACCACATAACTAGACCGAAACTTGGTGACCGGCAGCCTCATGTCTGCCCTTTACATCTCCGGATAAAGACCACTCACTATGACAGGCTCATTTTAGTGACTGTCGTTCTAAACTGAGACAGACCTTTTTCTAGAAGAGAAATTTGAACCATTCCAGCTCCTAACTTTCAGGGCTATTTCATATAGGACTTTTGAGAAGTGAAAAAAATGATACTGGGAGTGACGTTTCTGTCTATTCCAAGCCCTGTATTTTAAAGATGTGTGTTTGGGGACACAGCCCTTCACAAAGGTTAAAAATACAGCTGGCCCTTTTCTGCTGTGAACTAGTCTCCAGAGCTCTCACTGACAAGAAGCACTCAGGGCTGTTCATTAGAGGTGATCTGAGTTCCAGGAGAAGAGGGGGAAGTAAAGAAGCCCCTAAAATTCGGGGTGACCTTCCCTTCATGCCCCTTCCTGGAGCTGAAGGGGCCCCCTCCCCGTTCCTCATCAGGCACATGCTTCCCTTCGTGAGTGGGAACAGATTTCCCACCTCATTAACAAATTGGAACTATGCCTGACTCACCACCCGTCCCCAACACCCTCCCTAGGGGCCTGGCAGGGGCGTAGTTAATGCTAGTTCTACGAGATGAAGTGGGAAAAGTCCATTTCTCAGGAATTAGCTAAAGCATTTGACGTCCAGAACTTGAAGTTCATTGCAGAATACAGAGGTCCCCTCTTCCATTCGCAGTAACCATTGTGTTTACACTTGCCAGCACCCTCCTCTCCAACTATAGCTCAGACCCAAGGATGCTTACAGAGTTCTTCTCCCTTTTATACAAACCTCCTCAAAAGACCACTCATTGACAGGGGCCAGCCCAGTGGCACAGCAGTTAGGTGCCCACGTTCTGCTTTGGCAGCCCGGGGTTCACCGGTTCCGATCCAGGGTGTGGACACGGCACCGCTTGGCACGCTATGCTGTGGTAGGCATCCCACGTATAAAGTAGAGGAAGATGGGCATGGATGTTAGCTCAGGGCCAGTCTTCCTCAGCAAAAAGAGGAGGATTGGCAGTAGTTAGCTCAGGGCTAATCTTCCTCAAAAAAAAAAAAAAAGACCACCCATTGACAAGCATGTGAGCAACTTCTTTGCCTGTTTAAACTGATGAAAAGCAGATGCATAGATGTTTGGGACGTGATCAGGCCTGAGGCACCAGGTGGAACTTTATTAAATGGAATTGAATGATTGGACAAAGGGGCAAGGAGGTCAATGGATTGTTTTCTACCTGCAAGTGACACTGTCTGGGTGTAAGTTGTGAGGGAGCCCTTGAATCCACTTCAGATGGGGGAGACGTCAACTCACCTGGGCACTGAGTGGGTGGAGGGGGACACCAATGCTGTGGTTTGACTTTAGCAGATGCCCCATTTGAGCCTGTAAAATGGGTGCCTCCTTAAGGAGACAGCAGGGGTGAGTGTGGCCCCCCAGGAAGTCCTCTCCTCAAAGTCACTAACCAGTCTACGAGTGTAGACTGGAGCCTCTACTGGAGTAATTTCTTCTCCCCAGGGTCCATTATTTGTTTTGTGTTGTTAATTTATGTGATTTGGGGTTTTTGTTCTATTTTGTTATGTTTTCTTATATGTTTTGGAATATTGCTTTTTATAATTTTTTTAGTTTATTTTTGGAGATGAAAATGGCTGTTCCACGTGAAAGCTGAGTTCCTTGTTTCTTTCTTTTGCCCATGGCTGACTGCATGCTCTCTGTTGATGTCTTGTTCCTGGTTCTTGACACTGACCATCTTGTCTGTGAAAGGAGGCGCTCCAGCGAGCTTGCTTGATCAGAAGAAAGGGAAGTTTGCTTGGTTTAGTCACTCCACAGAAACCCATGGTAATGTTCCCCTGTGCTCTGTGTGTGTAAGTGTGTGCTGGTACGTACCGCACTGCACGGGAGGGTATTTTTCTTGATGGCTTGTGATGCTGTGTGTGTGTGTGCATATGTGTTTGTATGTATGTGTAGTTTTTGTGAGGGGATGGCAATCTGTCCCACTCAAAGCCACTGTCTTGTCGTCTCTTCATATGTATAAAGTCAGCGGATGTGACACTCAGAAGCAGCTATTCCTTGATAGAAGCTTTCCTTTGCATAGTGCCAGTCGAGATTTTCACTGTAAATGCCAGCTTGGCATGGTATAGGCAGTGCCTTTATTTAGAAGATTACATGTTTCCTTCTAATGCCCAGGCCTGCCCACTCCTACTTTGGTTGTCCTTCCAAGCCTAGCGCCACTGCCATCACACCACTCCACTAGCACATAAGGGGCTCTCTGGGAGCAAAGTGTCGCAAAGTCAGATGGCTTTTTATACACAGCTGAACTCTTTAAACAATGTTGCCTGAAGAGTTAAAGGCACGTTAGGCCAGAGATGGCTGGAGACAGATGGATTGAAAGACCAAAGGCATTTTAGTGTTGTGACTTCTTCCTTAGTATGGATGGCACAAGGAACCCTGGCAAACTCTGAAGGTTTTGTCTTCCCAACTCCCAGTGCTAAAACCATCCCTAAAGTCTGGTCTCTCCCACCAGCTCCCTCAGACCGCAGGCTGTAGAACTTTTGTAAGTGCTGTGAAACTCAGCACTACCATGTGGCCATTTGACACCCTCCTGTGATGCTACCAGGGCCTGATTTAGCTTTAAGAACCTCCTCTTGTCCTAGGGTGTAGACTAGGGAGTTGGTCAACGTGGGGGCAATCAAAATGAGCATGGTGCAGGGGGTCATGACACCTGTGCTTCGGGTGAAGTCCTACCCCAAACACACTGCAGGACCCTGGGCATCCTTCCCTCCCCCAGGCCTCGCTTTCCTGTCCTGTGAAGTGAAGGGACCGAGTTAGAGCTGGAGGATATCTAAAGTCCCATCCAGCGCCAACTTCTTTGAAATAACATCTGCATTTATTTTTACCCAACTTTATTGAAAATAAATCCCAAGGTAGAGGGGTCTCTCGTACACAACAAACAGATGGCAGGTCATGGGGCTTTCTGTGTGTGTCTTCCATATTCTTGAGGTGAGTCTCTTCTCACCTGCCCATGTTGTCTTCATCCAAAAGAAAACAATGTGGGAAAAATCCACATCCAGCACCAATATCCACGTAACCAGTAGGTCTTCTCCTGGGCTGTGGCAGCCCCGTGGGGACGTGTCACCTGGTGCTACATCACCTGATGCTACACCCTCACTAATTGCAGATTCTATGGCTGCTGAGGACTAGTGATTGTCTCACCAGATGAGGAGTTCTGTCCTGTCAGGAGAGCTGAACCAGGACCAATGATGTGGTGGCCGCTCTAAGGAACAGGAGTTGGCAAAAATAAGGAACTCATTTTTGTGTTGTATTAGAAGGTTAATGGGAGGTGAAAAAGAAGAATTCTCTTGAGTTAAACTTTTATTTGGAATAAAAAGTTATAATAAAAGAAGTGGCGTTTTCTAAGCCATCAAACTGGGTTCCAAGCTTAAAAAACTACTACTGCTCTAGAAATTCAGCCCACTGCTGCCTCAGGAAGAGCCTAGAGATTGACTGGACAGATTGGCTCCCGTGGAATTAGATGGTCTATACTCCAGGTCAACCTGCTGAGCTGGGAATGTCAAGGTTGCTGACGGGGGAGAGTAACCCGGCAGTCTATATTCTAGCCGCATGTAAACTTGATTTGCCGGGTTCCACAGTTATGTTCCTCATGCCTGATGTCTGCAGTGCTGGTTTGAATCTTAGTACATGATTCTGGTAATGGCTGTTCACTTCAGGCTCTCTATTCCAGGTAGAGTGCTAGACGTAGTTGACTCAGTACCCAGCATGCACCACAGGACAAGGGGCGTTCCTCCAAGTCCCTCTAGTAGTTCATGCTGGTGGCAAAAATGCCCTCTCTACAAACAAGCTAGACCCTAAGTTTGGGGGTGGAGCCCTTTAGAATTGGTGGGTAGAAAGAAATAAGGTAAATAAAATATTTTCATGAAAGCTCCTCTTTTTATGGCAAGTAATGGATGCAAATGGAAAACCTTATACAGCTTCTCCAAAGGCGTAGAGTTGAGGGTAGAGAAAGGATTCAAGGGGCAGTGTTTTCAGGATGTCTCCTATAAGGTAAAGGATCTTATCACCAGATTTCCTCCCACATTCCCACTAGTTTAGAGTGTCCATGGCAGCAAAACTCAGACTAGACACACAGCAGGCCTGTCAATGAAGGAAACCCCCGCCGCTGGCCAGGGCAGCGCCAGGGCTCAGCCTGCAGCAGCAGTGTCCGTCCCCTGGCCAGCAGGTGCTGTTCAGGCCCTCCTCCTCCCCAGCAGCCCTCTGTCTTGACTCGGGATTGGGTGTGTTGCAAACTAATGCTCTTCTCTCCTCTTTCCTCCCCGCCCTCAATGCCTTGCTCTGCATCGCTTTGACTCTTACAGTGAGCATGCCCACAAGTGAGACTGAGTCTGTCAACACGGAAAACGTGGCTGGAGGTGACATCGAGGGAGAAAACTGCGGAGCCAGGCTGGCGTGAGTAGGCACGGCTGGGGCTTTTCCGGGTTGTGGGCAGGGAAGCTGTGTCCTGAAGTCACAATGGGTTGGCTCCTCGCCGGGAGGGGTAGAGATTCGAGTGCAGCAAGAAACAGAAACCTCAGGCTGTGCCCTGTGTGGGGAGAGGAGGGCCCAGGTTGAGGGGGGCCCTGGGCAGGTCATGTCTTCAGTTCAGCACTTCTTTGAGGCTCTCACTCCTGGATTTTGAGGCCCTTCCCACCACATCTGAGAAGTACAGAGCATGTTCTGTGCAGGGTTGGGGGGACCCTGAAGCCTGTTGCTTCCCAGCCCCCTCACCCCCTTTCATAAGACACAGCTGTGTTAGGGTCCCTGGGTCCTGCTAGCCACCTTTCCATTCTGATAAATGTGACCTAGAAGAAAAGCCAACACGTAAGAAAATACACTGGGAGGTGATAAACATGTTGGTTCTTATCTGCAACACTAAGTTATCCATCTAGTGAAGGGAAACAGGTGCCTGGAACGCAAACTTGAGTTAATAAAAACCTCACCTGTGCGTAGCCTAGAAGGCAGCTGCCTCCTCCCACGTAAGCCCCAGCCTAGATGTTCACATCCTCCTTTCCCTGGCTCACACCCCAGTCCTGGGCTTCGGTGAGCTGACGTGGCCCAAGACTGGGCAGGTGTGAGGAGGGACAGTTCACAGGTGGATTATCACAGTCACCCGTTAGTTCCATCTTAAAAATGGAAACCAGCGGTCCCTGGGAAATGTGTCCCCCCCCCCCCAAAAAAAAAAAAACATGAAGCGAAAAAATGGTTTAACTGCTGAAAATAAGCAAACCGCTGGTTTCATTACCAGTATCTCAGAAAGCAAAGTCCAAAGATTAAAGTTGTGTTCTGTCAAGGAGTGACATTGACCTTGAGCATGAGGCCTCCTGGGCCATGCTGGTCCCACACTGGGTAGTGGAGCCTGCTTCTCCTCTTTCCTGGTAGGTGTAAGACCTGTAAACTCTGCCCCGTCACTGACAGGCACTGCAGACAGAAGGCCCCAGATGGGACCAGTCCCAAAGACAATGAGTTTCTAAATCACTCCAGCAGTGGAACAGCATCTCATCTCACCCTTTCCCTCTGAAATGACTCAGTGGTCTGGGCAAACCCAACCCTGTTTAAAAGGTTAGCTATAGGAACGCCTAAACATAAGCCACGCCAGCCTCGAGGGTGGCCTCCGAGCCAAAGGAGAAGGGAAACGAGGCTTAGGAACAGACCAGCTCTTGCATCTTCTCTTTCCAAGGTACACGGGCCTTCAGTATCAGTCACTCTGACAGTGGCGCCGGGGAGTCTGCACTGCAGATTTCTCAGTATTGTTGGGAAGCAATTATTGTCAAAATGTTGTTAAAATATGGTGCTAATTACATTTTTAAGCAGCCGTCCAAGCCTTTTCCCTCCTCTCTTCTTTTGGAACCATACAAAACAAGCACTTGAGTTTCTGGAAGTGGGCCCCAGACAGCCACACTAGGGAAAGGCAGATAGCAAGCCTTCAAAGCCTGTCAGGTCTAGGCCTTTCTGTTGTCTTGACACCAAGGAGGGTTAGGGGGCAGATGATTGAAGACCCTGCAACTCTGGCTTTGGGGCATGGCCCAAATTGCAGACCAGGAGGGACCAGGGAGCTGGCACTAGGAGGTCACTTGAGAGTACATTTCAGGAGAGTGTGGAGGCTCTGCTGGAAGAACATGACTGTCCCCCATAGAGGAGGCTGGCATCTCTAGTATATCTGTCATTTCCTTGAGGATATGCTCTACAGGCTTGAGAGCTCTGTAGAAATGGTCCCTGTTATCCCCAGGAATAGCCACATTTATGCATCTCCTCTGTGCATGTAGAATACCTAGTGACAGTGGCAGAATTCTAATATGTACCTAATCAATGATGGTCTTCTCCAACCCACTCCCCTCCCCACCCCTGCCTCAGGCAATGATGGGATAAGAATGCCAGCGTTCCTGGTGGGAGACACAGCATGAAGACAAGCTAGAGGCTGAGACTGAGTGTGATGGTGAGGAGACCGTGAGAGGCTAGTTTTTAAAGCTGAGTTAAAAGTGGTGTGTAGTGAGGGTTTCTATGAAGGTTTCTATATAGTGAGAAGGCCTGGATGAAGATGGTTCCTGGGGGTGGTGGGGGCAGAGAGAAAGGAACTGCAATATATTTTGGTGGGGAGGGGGCAGCTGGGGAGAAAAGGTGATGAAGAGGAAGGAGCCATCAAGGTCTGAAGACAGCAAATGATAAGGATGCTGAAGTAAAATTTGAAGCCGGGGCCCAACCAGGTGGACTTGCAGACATCACACCAGCCACAGGGTGTGGAGGTCCAAAGCTCAGCTCTGAACAGGGATGGAGCCACACTTTTGAGGCTATCGATGTAAAAACTATTAATGAGGTTATAAAACCAGGGTAGTTCATAGAGGATTAGAGGCAGAAGACCAAGGACTGAGCATTGGGAAACTGACACACAGAAGAATAAGACCAAGTAAATGAACCAGATGAAGAGGTTTTAGAGCAGACAGCAGTACTTTCCTGGAAGCCTCGGTAGAAAGAATTTCAGGACAGAGCTGTTTATCTGTACATTCATTCAACAGGATGCCCAGCTTGGTGCTAGGCGATGAGGATACATAGCAATCAAGCAAATGGACACCATCTCGTTGGAGCTCACAATCTGGTGTGAAAGTGACATTAGACAAGTAAAGAAGTCATTATAAATTGGGATAAGTGTTAAGAAGTAACTGTCATGTAGGGTTAATAACAGGGGGAGGGACCTGGTATAGACCGGCAGGTTAGGAAAAACTCCTTTGAAGAATTAAAATTTAAGCTGAGAACTGAAGAGTGAACATACATTATTGAGGTGAAGAGTAAGGAAGAATGTTCCGAGTGTGTTTCAAGGCCCTTGGGTGGAAGAACTGAGAGAAGGCCAGTGCAGCCAGTGCATGCAGGGCAGGAATGAGGGGAGAGTCCGGGAGACAAGGCTGGAGATGGGCAGGGCCTGGTAGATCCTAATGATCTTCGTCTTTTCCACAAGACCATGAGAAGTGATTGAACGTGAGAAGTCACAGGAATGTGGAGCTGGTTGTTTTGGTTAGCACTGCATTCTTGAAGGATCACTTTGATGTTAGGAGAAGAATGGGTAGGAGCGAGGCCAGTAGGAAACAGGCACGCGGTGAAAGGATCTCAACAGCAGTTCCCAAGGTGCAAGATGATGGTGGCGCCGGCTGGAGTCACACATGGAGATGGAAAAAGCAGATGAATTAGTTGTGTGTTCTGGAGCCACACTCTGCAGAATTTGACTATGAGAATTGGAGTCTCAGTGAAGGAGAGGGGGTGGACATGAGCCAGCGTAGGGCACTCGTTCCAGAAGTGAGGCCATGGAAGGGAGAGAGGAAATCAGGGTAGGAGAAAGAATAGGCAGCAATGGCAAGTGAGGCCTTGTTAAAGGCCTTTCAAGTAAAGACTAGAATAATCTTTAAGGCAGAAAAGAAGCCAGTGAAAAGGGAGAGGCTGAAAGTGCTGGAGTGGAGATGAGTGCTTATAGGAAGACATGGCTTACAAAGAGGAGAAGGGCGACTTCAAAGACACGGTTGGAGAGACTGGATTTACATAGAAGCACTCCCTGTACCTCTGGGACTAACGGTAAGATGGAAAAGAGACCTGGCATCAGGAGTCCTGGGGTCTAGTCCCAGTGAGCCACCAACTAGCCATGTGACCTCAACCAAAACACCTCCACTCTTGAGTCTGAGTCTTGTCCTCTGGCAAACGAAGGGGTCAGCCTTTTGGTTGGTTCAACGTGCAAAGGCCTGGGGGTCCTGGGAGCTGCAGGGACTACAGAAGGGGACCGCTTTCACCTCTATTATGTGTTGGGCTTCCAGGTTAGATTTCATGTGGATAAAGAATTCTATAACTTGATAAATTGCAAACCATAGATCCAGGTGGTATCTAAGAGTTCCTTCCAGTTCTCAAAGGCTACAGTTTATAAAGAATATAGAATCAGAAAGAGGCTCTGATGAAGAGGGTCAATGATAAGAGTCATACAAAATATCTATCATGTCATCACAGAAAGTGAGAGTTTGGTGTCCTAGGAACCTTGAGGACAGTTCAGTACAGTAAGATTCGAACTAGTGAATCACCGAGAAGTCACTAAGAATGCTGAGCAGTGCCGAAGACGTGGGGGAGACTGACATCGTAAATGTGGAGTCAGCCTCGCAGAACAATTTGACATATTTTTTGCAGCCTCTGTAGCCTGGAAGCACTAAAAGCATGCAGTGGTGTGGACCAGGGTGGGTGTTTAGCCGAGCAGGCACAGCAGAAGGCCCAGGCGGTGTGGGAGTCTACATTGTGTTGAAGGCAACATTGAAGTGACTGTGGGGCCATTGCTAGGTACCAGAGGCCAAATCTGACATTAGCCTGAGAGCCCTGGAAGGGTGTGAGTGATTGGGAAGGGCCAGTGAGGGCAAAAGTTGGGTTCAGTGAAAGGGCAGGAGGGCTAATGGAGAAGGAGACTCTGACCAGAGATACAGAGCAACTGAGTTCAGCATCCAGCAGTTGGAGCAATGCTCTGTGACAAGGCCCAGGGTGTGACCCTTCTAGTAATGACAGCTGAGGGGGGTGTTCCAGTTGTGGATTCAAGGTTGAGTCAGATGTATATCAACCTGGATGATGACTGCAGTGCCATCTGACTCATGTGAAAGGCAAATTGGGACGATTCAGGGAAATATTATTTCACACAGCAGGCAGTAAACATATGGTGCTCATTACTCTAAGAAGGAGAGAAAGGCTGAAAATATAAATAGCTCCCAAGAAGTTCAAATATTTGTCAAATAATGATAAATGCAAATTGCGTAACTAAGCAAAATAAAAGGAGTTTTAGGGTTGTCTTTAATTTTGAACCTTAATATCAACAAAGAAAATTGTGGTTTCCTGGAAGGTTTATCTTGGGCACCTGGGCAGAGAAAGTATCTTGGGTTGAATGAATTTCAGATCCAGCCCAGTGGAATTTTACCTCACTAGAATATTGCTGATGGAAAAAGCCAAAAAGGCTTCTGAGCAGGCTGTGCATGCCCCATTGGGGTTTGGAGAAGCTGAAGGTCTCTGCTGTTCCGAGGCCTCATTGGGATCTGAGGTGGTTTAACCAGTAGGCGGAAGCCTTTGCCACACGTCAGACAGCCCAGGGTGTGGAATGGGGCCGTGCTACACGGCACCCACTTGCTCCCCAGCTCACGGACTCACACAGAGGGATGGACTAGCTTTCCAAACCCTAGCTGGTGGTTACCTCCCAGGAGGTAAAAGGCAGCCGAGCAGCGGGGTCCCTCTGTTTTCAGGAAGTGGGGTTTTGCAGCTGCCTCCCACCTGTACAAGGAAGTACGGAGAAGTCAAGGAGCTGGGGCTTTACAAGGATTTCTTCCTCCAGCTCTGCAAGGGCTAGGATTTTCCTTTTCATCCAGACACATGCCGCTTGAGCAGCACTCTCCCCCTTCTTAAGTAGGGGTGCTTAAGTAATTTGGTGCTTAAAAGGGGATGAATGTTTCAGAGCCAGCAAGCCTAAAATTATGCTCACAATCCCCTGAGAACAGCAACAACAACAACAAAAATCAGTCTTCAAGGGAGGTGCCCATGGTTACACATCAGGACTTGTACGTAAGTGGGAAAGAAAGTCCTGCTCCATTTCCTTGTCTTCACAGTGTGCCCGAATGCCAAGGAAGGACCCGTAGCCAATGGCCATGCTGGAACTCGGACCTCGTTTTAAATGGTCACCCTCAGCCCTGATCCTCCCAGTGCCCACATCCCAGAGCCATTTCCTTAGGAGATAGGAACACTGAGATTTTGGTTTCCCCATTAGGAGTTTTTAAGAACCCACTTTTGCTTATAACTCACTTGGACTGAGAGAGAGACTTCAAGAGACCTTGCAGGGAAGGGCATGTGGTCTGTATTGAAGGGAGAGAATCATTGGGACATTTCTGAGAGAAAGCCTGGGGCCAGGCCCGGCCCTGTAGACAGAGTCACAAGACTAAAGGCCGTGGTCATCTGCTTGGGCTTGTGAACAGCAAGGAGTGTCAGTTGCCCAAAAGCAAGCCTGGGGAAGACCCTGACAGCCCCAAACTCAGTGTGGCCCTGCTGGAGAAGAGAGCGCCCGGATTCCCCAGCACCCAATTAGCGGCTGGAAACATTTGTTTCCCCCATTAAACTGTGACGCTAAATAAAAACGCTGCCCTTGGCTCCCGGTCCCCCTCCCACACGCTTTGTTAGCGTGTGATTAAACCCTTCAGCCCTAGGAGGCAGTCTTTGGAGGTGGGAAAAGGTTATTAGCTAACCATTCAGAGCAGTAAAGGCACTTGGCTCAGAATCTCAGTGCCCCAGAGATATAATTATCTCATGTACGATGGCTTCGCCACCTGTCACATCTTCTGGTTTAATTTTTTTTAATAAAAAATAACAAGAGGAGTTGTTTTCTTGCTGTACAACAGAGCTCACTGTGTACTGAGCTGGGACAACACAGGGTTGCAGCCGTCGTGTCCCAAACTGCCCGCCCCTGTGTACTCTCTGCATCTCTCTTTGTCTCTCTACCACTGTCTCCATCCCTTTCTTCATCTCTAACTTGCATTCTGCATCCTCCCGCACGTCCATCTGAGCACAGTCTCTCCTCCTGCATCTCCCTGGTATCCACTACCTTAACACCATTTCTGACATGTTGCCTTCTGTTTTTTGTCTCAAGTGCTTGCCTTCCCTCTCTCTCTCTCTCTCACTCTCTCTCTGTGTCTCTCTCTCTCACTCTCTCTGTCTCTCTCTCTGTCGCTCTCTCTGTGTGTGTGTGTGTGTGTGTGTGTCTCTCTCTCTCTGTCTCTCTCTCTTACTCTCTCTCTCTCTCTGTCTCTCTCTCTCTCTTTCTCTCTCCCCCTCCCTTCTTCCCTTCCTCCTCCCCCAGCCTGCCTCCATCCAGCCTCCCCTGGACGCTCCTATATGAACAGGTATTCTCAGGACCTCCTTGAAGTTTCCACCCTTCACTGGACCCCTCCTCCCTGATACGATGATCCTTCGAGTCAGCTACCAGCCCACCTGTCCTGTGCTTCTGCCCAGAAGTCCCCCAGGTCTTCAGGGTTGCACATGACTGTCAGCATCCTGGGTTTCAGGCCCCATGGCTATTTCTTTAGGCCCAGTTTGCAGCCCTCAGGCCAGGACTGTAGTGGCCTCTCAGTTTCCAGCTGGCTCCTTTCTCTTATCTTCACTTTATACCCCAGCATTGGCCAGGCTCCTGCTTGGACAGCAGTGACATCTACACCAATGTGTTCCTGCCTGTGGTTTCCAGCTGGTGAGATCCTTGTGCCTTGTGCCTGGCTCTTTTCAAGGTGCAGCATTCCTCACACGCTGCCCAGCCCTACCTCATGGAACCTGCTGGGCAGACACTGGCCATCTGAGAATGGCCCTCTCCCTCTCCAGGGAGCATTAGCGCCACTTAGAAGATACTGGGTTTGTAGATTCGTCAGCTGGCCCAGCCCTCAGTCCCCACATTCAAACACAAGAACACGCCGGGAGATGCTCACAGACAGGGTTTCCTCTCCAAAGTTCTTCATCCCACACATCCGTCCAGTGCCCATCTAAAGTCTCCTGAGCAACACCGGACTTCTCTGCACTGTTGAACATGTTTGAAGTAGAAGAAAATGTGTGTGTCATTTGGTAATGTCTCCTTTTTCTCTTTCAGCCACCGGATCTCCAAGTCTAAGTTCAGGTGCGTGAGCTGCATGCTGCTCTTCTTTCCTGCTCTGACCTGGGTAGCCCAAGGTCACACCTCCAGATGGGGTGGTAAAGTGAGAGGTGTTCTTCTAAGGGGGTAACTGCGCTCTTTTGTATGGCTATCAAGAAGAGGCTTGTGGATCAGATCAGGCAGGTACTTCAGGGTTGATATTTGTTGATCCTTGACCGTCAGTCTTTGTGGCAGCACCATCCCTAGGAGGTCGTGAGACCTAATATCTCCCTCTCCTGTATAAGATGGAGTCCAGTCTAAAAAGATGTAATGTGGACACTTACCGCTATTCATAACTATTTCAGGTTTATGGAACACGATGAGATAGGAACTTTAAGGATTATGGAAAGCATGTAGGATTGTGACACTGCTCTGCTTCAGAACCTTCCACAGGACCCATGGTCTTCAGCCCCCATCTGCCTTTCCAGCCTCACTTCCCGCACTCCCCAAGCATATCCTTTGTTCCAACCACATGGAACTTCTTGTGGTTACCAGAAAGTTCCCAGGGCCTTTCTTCATGGAGCCCTTCTTCTACCTGAATCACCATGTCCCCATGTCTTCATCTAGAGAACTCGGACTTTTGTTAAGAACCTCCAACATTACCACATCTATGACACCTTCTGCAAACTCCCCAGGGGAAGTACTCACTCCCTCCATTCCCATGGTGCTTTGCTCATACCTCTGTCACAGCACCTACCCTACTTCACTCCATTTATTGGCTCACAGGCCTGTTTCCCCCAACAGGCTGTGTGTGCCTCAGAGGTATTATTTCCAGAGAGTCTAGCTAAGTGCCTGTCCAGTGGCAGGCTGTCCATACACGTGTGCTGAGTGGATGAATGGATGGATATGTGGAGTGGGGATGTGAATGTACTCCCACAAAGCTTGTACATGCCCAAAGATATTGGTTGTTTGTGTTTCATAACTGATCTAGTGTTGTTTCCCTGGCCTCACCTACTGCGTAGCAGGAGCATAAATAACACTAAATTTCAGTCCAGCTGCGTAAATGCAGCCCAGTGCTGTATTTGAAATAATCCCTTAAGGTGAAATATTCCGACTCTCATATTTCCTTTTCCCTAGCTCCTCTCCAAGATGGAGTCTGCATGCATAGGGGTAGGGGACTTCAGGATCCCAGGAAGTAAACAGGGCTTGGTCAGGACTGGTGCTGGAGTCCTCCTGAGTCCTCTGCTTATCCCTGCTGTGTGGTGGCTAGTCTGGGCTGCTCTCTGAACTGGTACCTGCTGAGGTGCAGCAGCTCCATCTCCATCCGTTCCACCACTGGAATCCATGGGCCCCCATATTTACATCCGATCTTGAAATCTCCACCTCTGTCCTCTGACCCCCAAGCTCCACTGGTCCCCTGACTTTAGCATCCTCGCACCTCATCTGAGTGCACAGATGCTTCCAGACCCCTCACACTCCATGAACAAGCTTTGGGGAACCGGGAGCACTATGACAGGCTCACCCACCTGCCTGCCTCCCACCACTCTCTCTTCACCAGCCTGGATGGAGCTCTAAGCCAAAGGCTGACATTCTCCAGGGAGCTTAAGACCCCCTCTGCTACACCCAGTAGAGGCTGCGCACTAGCCCCACTGTCCCTGGGCCTCCCCATGACTGTCTGGGGGTTTCTAAAGCAACCTTCTCTAACCTCTTGAGGCTTGGGCCCAGGGCTGAGAATTAAATAACTCTGCTGTCTGACTTTCTCCTCTGCTTCTGACACCTTCTTTCTCTCATATTCCACTGGGACTGGAAAATTCAGGCTTTTCTCCCCTTCCTCTTTCTCTTAAGCCATGACCACCTGCACATAAAAATCTAGGGAGAAGTCTACCAGGCCTAGCTCTGCTTACATGAACAAGAGCTCTAGAAATAGAGTCCTCTCACTCTCAGTAATGCTTACATCTTACTGCTTTATCACCTGCATCTGGAGGAGTGGCTGGTACATAACAGGGATGAAATAAATATTTGCTGAGTAAATGAATGAATGAATGATCTTGGCTCAGTAAGACACTAGGCTTGATACTCACTCAAACAAAATATCTAATTTGACAGCCAAAGCTGAGAAATCATTTTGTACTTCTGACATTTCCAAAGCCCCTACACAATAAGAGTAAGGGATATAAAAATACATTTTAAAATGTTTCCAAAATATCATTCTCATTACATGCAAATGAGTGAATCGTAAATGAATGAATGAATGAATGAACAGTCTGGAGGATGGAAGAGAAAGTGCATATTTGTGTGGACTCTGCTGAGTGAGACATACCCAGGGGACATTGGGAACATTTTCTTATCCAGTATTCTATGGTGTATTCTGTGCTTTTGAAAAAGAGGAAAGAACAGTGGTCCCCTGACTCTGGACTCTGCTCAGGTTTGAGGCATGGCTCACCCTGCTGTGTTCTTAACCTCCTTATACCAGCCGTTTGACCTCTGCGGCTGCTATTCAAGATACAACAGAAACACAGAGAGGACTCTGTATTCCCAAAAGACTTCTTACCTGTAGGCTGGCACTATCATTAAACCCATTGTCAGATGAGCATACCAAGGCTGAGAGACCCAGGGCCACATGGCTCATATACGGCTGAGTCAGAACCCACACCCAGGCCCCAAGCCACTAACCACCATGCCATCCTGGTGATAGGTTCCGCCCAGGAGCACTACCCCGTCTCTGCTGAACTGTTGTATCAGGGGCATTGCCGGGGGGCGGGGAGGGTGGCAGGAGCTCTACCGCAGTGCTGTTGATTAGAAAGTAACACAAGCCACATGTGCACTTTCTAAAATTTTCTAGTAGCCACATTAAAAAGTAAAAAGAAACAGGTGAAATTAATCTTAATATAATTTGTTTAACCCAGTATATCTAAAACATCATTTCAACATGTAATACTATAAAAATTATTGATGGGATATTTTATATTCGTTTTTTTGTACTAAGTCTTTGAAATACAGTGTGTATTTTCAACTTACCACACACCTCAGTTTGGACTGGCCACATTTCAGGTGCTCAATAGCCGCATGTGGCTAGTGGCTACCACACCAGAGAGTGTGGCCCTAAAGGGTCTGAGCAGATGTCAAATGGCGGCCATCCCATCCAGATTCTAGAGCCCACTGATGGTGTCTGTTCAGGGAATATCAAAGACTGGCAATGGATTCAAAATGCCATCAATTATCAGACTAGACCTGGAGTAGTTCCTGTCTGCTGCTAAGGTTTCCACTACATGAGTAAGAAAAATGTGCCCTCGCGCTTTCTGTCTGTCTGATTGGGCAGCTAAGACTGAATGGGAGCATAGCAGAGACCTGGAAATATGGGGAGAAATGCAGAGAGAATTTTTGTAACTCAGAAATAACTTTGTAAACAGTGAAGAGCCTGTCTTACTCCAAAAAAGAATCTGATATTTGAATATTAAAAAAATCAAAGTATTCCTGATTCCTTTCTCAGTTTAATAATGACATGAATGAATTTGAGCTTAAAACTGGCCTATTATATTTCCAAGACTGAATGGTTTATTTAAAAGAAATATTAGAACAGAGCTTTTAGGGAAAATTCGGCAAATCAATGGACTTATGACTTTAGGGCAATATTAAGGTATTATCCTGGTAAACCAAGTCTCCACTTTGAGAAATTAGTTACAATAAAGAATTCTGCAACATTTGGGGCTCACTGTTCAGAGAAGGTTTTAAACAGTTACAGAACAAGTGATTCCAAAAGTCTTGTGCAATTTGAAGGGATTAATCAGATAATCTGTTGGAGTTTTCCTCTCTCGACTTTGCAGAGTTCTGGAGTGAACCCCACGGGCTTCTACTATTTGGGAGGACTGTCTTGCCCCATCGTCAGTGAAAAGTGCCTCCAATGTTCCCTGTGCTTCTGCCATCCCATAAGCAACAAGGATGTGTCCAAATTTGCCCCAATCTCTCATAGTCCATTTTTAAGTTACTTATGTATAAAAGAATTAAATTTAATGATTTTGGGGGTTGCTTGTTCTCAATTCTGTTAAAGAAAAGATAGGAACTTACTTTGGCCACTAGATAGAGCCTGAAGTAGCCACCATTTTGATGTTGTCTACTGTTCTAGATGTCTGTCAAAAATTATGTGTCAAGCAAACTCTTTTAGGAGCCCATCCTCTCCTCACCCCCACCCTCATCCCCGGGTGACAAGAGGTCCAGGGCTCTCAAAACTTGTCTTCAACAAGGAGTTAGTAAATCTGCATAGAATTTGTCTCCACTGCTCTGCCAACCTGTCAGTGAAGTGTTCTTGCCACGTGAAATGGACTGCACTAATATTGTGGGTCTGTAACAAAGGGGAGGGCAGTCCCTTCCCCTCCAGGATCTTAGGATCTCATTGGAGAGGCAAGAGCCATACAATAAAAGATAACTGACAATACAAGGCAGTGGGAAGTCACTTCCTCTGGGGAGCCTTTGCCGGCTTGGACGCTTGGCTGGGACGCCCTTTGATGTGCTCTGGGGGCACTTCCACTAAGCCCGCCCTGGCGCTGAGCACCCTCTTTGCTTGCTTAGGGGTCTGTATCACCCACGTGAGTTTTATGCAAAGACTGTGTTTATCATAATAACTGTTGAATATCTAGTACCTAGCCCATGGAAGGTATTTAATAAATATTTTTGAATGTGTAACTAAAATGAGTAATGCAGACAAGTGTGACAGGAGTTCTGAGTCTGGGAAGACTAGAAAAGTTCACCATGGAGAAGCTGGGACTTGAAGTGACCCCTAAGTGATGAGCAGGACATAGAAGGGGGAGGTCCTGGTAGCTGAGGGGACAGTCCATATAGGTGGAAAGGCAAGAGCAGGGTCCAGTACTGGGAAGAGGTGAGGTGGATCTGAGGGTGAGTGAGCAGAAATTTCCCATGGGAATGCAACGATAGAGAAGTTTGAAGAAGTATGTGAGACGCATTCCTCTCCATCCTTCTCTCCTATGTCTACATGTGGGAAGTTCTATTCCTAGAGTAAAGGACTTTTCCAGTTAGTGTGAAGGGAACATGAATAGCAGGCAAATTGCTCCTCCCTATTTTATCATTTAATTTCTATATCCTCCATACATATATAAACACACAAATAAATTTACACATTCTAATAAACCATTACATTTATTATACAGTAGGAAGTGTTGCCAGGAAACCAGTTGTCAAGCGAAGCTATATTTTGAAGAGTGGGAAGTGTATAACTATCTTTAAATACTTTCTCTGGATAGTAATTACCCCACCCCCCGCCCAGCCCAAGTCCGAGGGGCTCTCCTGAATGGCTGTGCACAGGAACAGCGCCGTTTACGGGTGCACCCGGTCTATGGGTCCAAGTGGAGCAGCTCCAGAGCCATGGGCCAGGCCTGACGGTGTAGCACCGCGCACCCACCTCCCCAAACTTGGGGAAAGAGGAGCTTAATCAAGTTCTCAGTATTCAGCTGATTGCCAGTCAGTTCCTACATGCCGTGAAAGAAGGCAGAGTCGCTTCCTTTGGACTCTGAGTAAGTTATCAGTGATTTCTGTAACATGAGAGTGTGTCTATGTAAACTTATTTCTTGAAACTACAATGCAAGCTATTTAGGATCAGATATGAGTTCTTCCTGAAAGTTCATTTTTCAGGAAAAAAACTGTCTTCCAATTTCTCTGCAATATTAATAACCACAGTAACAGGCAAAAAGCAGTCCTGTCCCGGCAAGATAAGGCTCCTCAGCACAAGGTCGCCTCTCACCAGGACCCCTGGGACCCCTGTCCCATTCCTTTGCCCCTCTCTTCGCCCTCCCCCGTCCTCCCTCTTACCCAGGGCGGTATGTCTGGAGGAGGGAAGCCTCCCTGAGTGTCTGTGGGAACTGGGTTTTTCTGACCCAAGCAGCTCTCCTCGTGTAGTGAAGGTCCCCCAAGCAGCAGTTGTGTCCCCTGCAAAGGCCTGGCGCTCACTGGAGGTGGCCTTCAAACCCCGTAGTGATGTAGGGGTCGGATCAGAACATGACTCCATTAATCTTTCTTCCCTCTTCGTTCTGCAGGCCCAAAACGAAGGGAAAAATAGCCTGCTTAGATGACCCCACTTGTCTAACCTCAGAACAGATTTTAGCAAAGGCTTGGTAACAGGATTTTCCGCAGACAGGAGGTAGAAAATGACAGAACAGAAATTGAGATGAAGCCAAGCTATCTCTAAAGGCAGTTGGGCGTGGGTGGAGGGTCCACAACAGCGGAGGTCTGCGTCCCTGGGAACCGAGAACGCAGCGGAGTGCACACGCGCACGGACTGTCGCTCTCGCGTTCGGCTTTGCTTCTCCTCTGCCCTCTTTATTACCCAAACAGGCTCTGTCTTCAGCTGCCAACTGGGCTTCTCAACATACGTGACCTGCAGGCACCTCTAACCATTTCCCGAGCTGAGCACCCCACCTTTCTCCTCCTGACGACCTCTGCTTCTGGAGCACTCCTCCTGGTCTGCACCTGCGTTGGTTAGGACCCCATTCGTCCACATCGCTCCAGCTAGAAATCTTGGCCATCCCTTCCATACCTTTCTCTCCTACTCTACACATCTAGTCAGGCTCAAAGGCCCCCCAGATTGGTGTCAACTCAGTGTCCTCTTTTCCATTAATAAAGCCACTGCCTTTGTCATCTCCCACCCAGATGGCTGAAAGAGCATTCCTCATGCTACCCCTGATCCAGAAGTTGGCAGAGTGGTTGTTTTCGTTGATTGTTTGGTTTTCTAAAGCCAAATGCCATCATGTCATTCTTCCTATCAAAGTCCTCAGCATGGCCCTCTGCAGCTCCCTCCCGAGCACCTCTCCAGCACCCTTTTCTTCTCTCCTCTGCATGGTGTGGATATTTATTCAATGTTTGGTCACCAGAGTTACCAAATACAGCTATATATTTCCTCTGCATCACGAGGATGAATGCCATAAGCTATGAGGGGCCAAGCTGTAAACCGCACCCCCACACACACAGCATTACAGAATGGGAGTATTTCCTTGAGATCATCTAGCCTAAAGGTTCCCAACCATGGTTCACATTAGAACCACTTGGGAACTTTAAAAAATACCGATGGTAGATTTGGTATTTAAAAAATACCCAGCCCCCAGAGAACGAGATTTAATTGCTTTGGGGTTGGGGCCTGGGTACTGGTGAGGTTTTTTGGTTATTATTTTTAAGCTTCCCCAGGTAATTCTGTGTACAGCCAAGTTTGAGCATTACAAACAAAAGTCCCTAACCAAGAGACCATGGGAACATCATATGGACCGTGGCCGAGCTGCAAGGGGGCCACGTGCTGCATGAACTTCTCTGGAGAGGGTGTGGATGTGTGGATGTGCTGACTTTTCTGAACAGAGGGTCTAAACGTTTGTCAGCTTCTCGAAAGATTCTAGAAGCCCGTGAAAGCAAAGAACCTCTCATCCAGATTCACCCCTTACACTGTGCACATGAGGCAGCAGGGAGTAAGGAGTGAGACACTGGGCTGGGGAGGAATCCCAAGCTGGCTCTGCGGGTGTGTGATGTTGGTCAAGGTCAACCTCCACGGCCCTTAGTTTTCTCCTCAAAATCAGGATCGCGCCTGCTTTTCAGAGTTACCAAAAGAATTCGGGAGAAGGCAGGAGCAGTGCCTGCCGTGGCAGTGGCACGCGGGAGTCTCATCAGTAACCATTACTGGTAACCACAGCTACTGATCCGGCTCTTAGTGCTCCCAGTACCACTCCTAATAAGTCCATTACTACAAAATAAAAATGCTACCCACTTTTTGAGCACCTTCAGCTTCATGCCAGATGCATTATATGGTATTTTATCAATCCCACAACAACCCTGTGAGGTCGGCCCTATGCCCATTTCATGCATGAGAGAACCAAAGGTTAGAAAGGAGCAGGGACAAACCCGAGGCCCCGTGGCTAAGTGGTAGAGCCTGGTTAACGTGATGGAAAGCTTGTCTCCCTGCCGCCAGCTTGCACTGCTCCAGTGTGAGGCCAAGTCAGTTCAGGGTGAAGAAAGCCACGGCGCTGCCTTTTGGACCGGGAAAAATCTGAATCTCACAGCCACTGCCCTCCCCATCCTCTCTCCTTGCCCCTTTCCAGCCGCTACTGGCGCCGGTGGAATCGGTTCTGCAGAAGAAAGTGTCGCGCAGCAGTCAAGTCTAACATTTTCTACTGGCTGGTGATTTTCCTGGTGTTCCTCAACACACTCACCATCGCCTCCGAGCATTACAACCAGCCCCACTGGCTCACGGAAGTCCAAGGTGAGAGGCGGCCCCTGGCGCCAGTCTTGTTTACTCTTGCAAGCTCAGCCCTCGGTCCCAGGGAGGGAAGAGCCACAGGCAGAAAGTTGATGGGAAAGCAGCCAGTGGCCTTGGCTCTTGGTAGGCAACATGCTGGGCACACCAAGGGCCTGACCGCTTGCAAACCCCACAGTAAGATGCACCATCTCGCTGTAAACAGACATGGCTCACCTGCACGGCCCAGACTGCCTGCCCCAACAGGCACTGTTGGGTCCAGGTGACAAGGACACGTGCTGCAGCTTGTTTGGCTATCTCAGACCCTTGGCTGCCAGCTTCCCAGAGTGGGTTGCCAGGACCTCAGGCCTTACCCCGCCTCCAGGCAGGCTTGCAGAGCACGTGAGCATGAGGTCAGCAAGGAGGCCAGGAAGGGGACCACAGTGTCCTAGTCAAGGAGCTGTCCCTGATGGCGTCCCCGCATCCTAGGAGCGGATCTCACCAGCCAGCATCCCGGGGCCCTCCAGGGGAGTCAGGCAGACACAGGGCTGCATTCCAGAACCCTGGGCAGCCGTCACTCTCCGGTGTAGAGGGCAGGATCCAACGGCCTGACTCCCTCTTTTGCCTGATGATTTGGGCAGATTACTCACCTCTCTCAACCTCACTTCTCATCTCTGAAAATGGGCGTGATAACAATAGTGCCAGCTCTCAGAGCTGCTGCGAGGAGTGAAGGAGATAATGCGCTCAGAGCCCTTGGTGCACAGTAGACTCGGTAAATGTTCATGTGGTGATAACTAGATACCCCTTTCCACCGATTTGGCCCTAACAGTCCTCTTTAGGTGGCAGTGGATAGGAGAGGCGTCCTGGCTGGGAAGGGACCGTTTGGGGTTTTTTCCAGTGGTGATAATTACCGTGTTTTCTTCCTCCTCCTCCCTCTCCTCACACCCCTGTTTGGACGCCTCCCCCGCTCCTGGACCTGCCAGATACGGCCAACAAGGCACTGCTGGCCCTGTTCACCACGGAGATGCTGCTGAAGATGTACAGCCTGGGCCTGCAGGCTTACTTTGTGTCCCTCTTCAACCGCTTCGACTGCTTCATCGTGTGCGGGGGCATCCTGGAGACCATCCTGGTGGAGACCAAGATCATGTCTCCTCTGGGCATCTCTGTGCTGAGATGTGTCCGGCTACTGAGGATATTTAAAATCACAAGGTATTTGGGTCCTCATTTCCCCTCAGACATGGGACTCAGGGAGAAGTTCTTCTGGAAGGCAGGGGCGGCAGGAAGGCCTGGGTGGGAGAGTAGCCGCTATTTTCTTGAAGGGTCTGTCCTCTGCTCGGATATGACGACGGGAGTTTTTATTCATTTAGTTGGTCTATCGTTTAGAAATTCCTTTGGCTGCTCATTCCAGAGACTCAACTCAGTGGTGTAAGCAAATCAGAGGTCGGTTGAGTCACGTAAAAGACATCCAGAGGTGGGCAGCCATGTGGCTTCCAGAAGGTCTCAGGGACCCAGTCCCCTTCTGTCCTGTGCTTTGCCAGCCTTAGGCCTACCTTCCACCCCCAAGGTCCCAAGGTGGCTTCTGGAGATTGAGTCATCATGTTTGAATCGAGGCAGGGAGAAGAGAAAGGGCCAGGGCCAGAGGGGCGCCTGTCCCAGCTGAGTCAGCCACCTCCAGAGCTCTCCCAGAAATCTCACCAAGGCTCTGTTCTCATGGCCACCCCAGCTGTTAGAGAGACTGAGAAAGTGACCTTTTAACTGGGAGTGTGCTGCCCCAAATGCAGTCAAGATCCCTTGTTCCTTCCTTCTTCCTTATGAAGACAGAGGATGGATATTGTGACACAGATGGCTTTCATCGCTCCTTCCACACGTTCACCCCCTCTCCATCTGTCTGTCCGTCTGCCCACCCAAATCTTGCAGTCTTCCTAACTCTCTAGGTCAAGCAGTGATTGTCATGTAGAGGACAGGCAGGGGTAGGGAACAGGGAGAGGGCAGCATGCTCTAGGACAATGATTTCCAGCTGTGTTGTGACCCATTTTGGGTGTTAAAATCAGTTTATTGCATCACAACCACCATTTTTAAACAGATTTATTGAGATATAATTCACATGCTATATAATTCACCTCTTTAAACTGTGTAATTCAGTTTTTTATGTATTAGAGTTCTGCAACCATCAGCACAACCTAGTTTTAGAACGTTTTCATTACCCCAAAAAGAAACCACATACCCACTCCTCTTGCCCCCCACCTTCCCTCCCAGTAGAAACCACTGATTTAGTTTTATCTCTATGTATTTGCTTATTCTGGACGATTCATATAAGTTAAGTCATACAGTACGTGATGTTTTGTGACTGGCATCTTTCACTTGGCAGAGTGGTTTCAAGTTTTTCCACATTGTAGCATCTATCAGTACTTCACTCCTTTTGGTGGCTGAATAATATTCCACTGTGCATGCGTGTGTGTGTGTGTGTGTGTGTGTGTGTGTGTGTGTGTGTGTGTGTGTATCACATTCTGTTTGTTCATTCATCACTTGGTGGACATTCGGTTTCTTTCCACCTTTTGGCTGCTATGAGTAATGCTGCTATGAAGCATTTGTGTTGAAGTTTTTGTATGGATGTGTGTTTTCATTTCTCTTGGATACCTATTTAGGAGGAGAATTTCTAGGTCATTTGATAACTCTGTATTTAAGATTTTGAGAAACTTTCAAACTGTTTTCCAAAGAGATTGGGCCATTTTACATTCCCATCAGGGATGTATAAGGGTTCCAGTTTCTCCACACTCTCATTTTTAGTGAAAGAATGAAATAGAATAAGAAAACATCAGAGGGCCTCACATGAATGTGAGCATTGCTTCATAAAAATATTTTAGATATATGTCTGAGTTGCAGTATAATGCCTATTTCTCACTATGGGTTGTGGTAGAAGGACATATCAGAAACCCCTGGAGGGGAGGGGGTTCAAGTTGTGTCCCCCCTAGAGATACAAGTCTCCTCTCCTTAAGAATCTCTGCTTTGGGACCCCGATTGATAAGAGGAGCCCTGAAACCATCAGCTGGATTGTGTTGGAAGAAAAGAGGGTGGGGGTTGGTGTGTTCCCTTCAAAGACCAGCGTTGACCACACCCTGCTCAGAGTGCTCTGAACCTGACTGAGCGAGTCTCAGGGGCCTGCATTGCATCCCGGGTATCACGGTTCTTTTCGCAGTTCTCTCGGCAGCCATGCCACACACAGTCACTGTGGTGTCGTCAAGGGTCAAGTGGGAAAAAGCATTTAAAGGGTTCAGTTCAGTGCCAGGCACAGGAGACACTCAACAACCAGAGCATTTATTATTAATCTAATTATAATTGTCACTATTAAGAGAAGGAAGAAGGAGAAAAAAGCTAATGGTGATCGACACATACACACTCTCTTACTTTGTTTATCCACCATGTATATGCTACATGTCAACCTCTGAGAGAGACGGAAAAAGGTGTATGGCGTGAACTGAACCCAGGAGAAATTTACAGTCTGTCCAGGGACCTGGCGCTTGTACATATGAAGCAATTGCAAGAAAAGCTAGGACAGAATAAAATGAGCTGGAAAATAGGTGGGGGGACACCTGCTATGGAAAATTAGGAACAGAAGAGCATCCCTGGAAAGATTTAATGTCAGATGACAGGCTCAAAGTATACACAGAATTTAAATCCATACGTTTAACACTCCTGAGCGACAACTCCTTTGCCCCCTCAAAAAAGAGCTCTTCCTGAATATCTTGGCATTACAGAAAATCCATAGTTTAAAATAAAAGTAGTAGAAATATAATAACAATCATCGTTTACCTGCGTCAGTGCTGGCTCTTTGCCAGATACTGTGATCCGAATGCTGGCATGCATTCACTCCGTTCATCCTCATGATTACCTACAAGAGACAGTGAGGAGAGGGCACTATTATCATTATTTCCATTTTGCAGATGAGAAAACTGTGGCTTAGAGAGTTAGGTCACTTGCCCAAGGTCACAGGAACTGCTCACGAGTGAAGCCGGGATTAAGAGGCCAGTCTGTCTGTCTGTCTGACTGCAGGTTCTGTGCTCCTAGCCATGACCACCAACTGCAGAGTTGACTGAAAGTTGTGGTCTGTGTCCCTGAGACGAGACTTAAAGAATTTTTACATACTGATTCTTGGTTTTAGATACATTGCTGATTCTACTTGCTCCTCTTGGGGTCTAGTAAAAGCTATTTTTAGTTTGGAGTTCCTAGTACCTCTTAAATAATTCTCAAAAGTCCATACTTTAGGAGTTTTCTTTTTGTTTTTGTTTTTGTTTTTAATTCTTATAGAAAAGAATTCTTGCTTCTAGATGTCATAGCATCTTGAAGAGGTTTAACGTCATTCTGTTTTTAATAAACAATTTATCTATTTCTAATCTGAAACTATTCCCGAGAAACCATTTTTTTTCAATCTGTGTTTATCAGAGAGCTTCCCATAGTCCGTCCATGAGAAAGATTAGTGGTATTTTCAGATCTCTGTAATGTCTATAAACAGAATAATTTCATTATCTAATTGGAAGTTACTTTGGGCGAAAGCTGTCGTCTTCCTGTTTTCCAGTCTCCAAACCCTCTGGGGGCTTTTGGAAAACAACAAAGGGACAGGCTGTGCAGGGAATCCCATGCTCCGTCTGAACTTTGTCTCCGATACAACCCAGTGACCAAGAAAATGACTAAAATATGGGCTGGGAGTGGACATCATGGTCCCTTGAGATGGGTCATCTGTTTATGGCTCTGCCATCAAACACGTATATTTCACCCTCTGCTTTTAAAATCTCTTGGAGAATACTTTGTGACGTCACGCTACTGGTTTTTGCAGTGTATTCTGAGCCAGTCATTGTGATTCGCACTTAGCTGAGCCAATTAAGAGAGCTGTTAAGGACGCCCACCTTTAGAGATTTTGACCAGCAACTCCTGGAGAGTTCCATGCTGGTGGTTTAATGACTTCACTTTGAGAAATATTGGCCTAATTTCTGCTACAGTCCTTTGTCCACTTTCTTGTCTCAAAATATGAATTTTCATGTATAATTGGAAACCTTGATTCTTGCATTTCCACTCTCTTCTCTATACTGTAGCCCCTAACCATGTTAAGATTCTACTCCTCATGGTTCTTGACTGAGAAAACGCATAATGATAAACAGCAACTATGAATTCAGCAAAGTTTTTAAATTAATTTGAATTTTATTAATTCCTACACACCTGTATACATTTGGAGAGTGGTAATGTAAATTCAAGACAAGCTATTTATTTAGAGCACTATAATGCTTGGTGTACACTTGGATTCATGGATCCCTTCCTGTAGTTCTGAGCTGTCCTTGCCTCACCCAGAGCCTATGGTCTAAGAGTGGGGAATGCTGATCTAGACCAGGGGTTCTCAACCATGATGTCATGACACATCAGTATGTTTAGAGCAGCTGAACAGTGTGTATGTAGCAGATAATTTGCTATTACTAAGAGCTAAAATCCCAAAATTTGTGAATAATTTCCCTTTTAAAAAAATAAATTCAATATTGTTTTTGTAACACCCCCACCCTTGGTCACTCGCATTCCCAAATGCTTTTATGAATAGGCAAGAATGGAGTGGACTTACCATTCATCCCGCTGCCTAAAGGGGGCAGAAGTCTTTGGTATGTGATGACTACAAATATGGTATATAATGAAAATGAATTATTAATGTGCTTACTTTTTTTGTGTTTTGTAAAAATCTGAGAATGCCTTAGCGAGTATACTGTATATATGACTATCATCCATCCTGTGGGTCTCATAGGAAAAAAAAAATACTAGGACACTGTATTAGATGTGAGTCAATTAATTACGGAGTATCCATAGTGCTGTGAGTGGGAAAGAATAGGAAAGACAAGAGTCCCTTCTCAGTGAGAACAGAGAGGCATGCACGGCCAAAATCTTTGTCGTCTTTGGTTAAATTACCCGTAACAGCGGGCTTTCCAGCCACGTGATGGATGGGGTTCTTTCTCCTGCTTTGAGGCTTTATGGGGCTGTAAACATTGCTGAGTTTCAATGTCTAGTTTGTCTACTCTTTGTCAGCCCAGTCTGGCAGGTCATTCTATGGGGAGGAAGAAGAGCTTCAGTTACTTTAAATCTGGGTATGATTCCAATTTACTAACTGCATCTCACTTTTTATACAGTTTGTTGTCAAGTGCACCAAAATCCCTGTGGCCCTTGCTGTTTTCTCTCTT